GATTGAAAATAAAGTTTTAAAGAAGAAATCCAACTGAATTCTGTTCTTTCGGACATACCATTTTGAACAGCGCATATTTTTCCAACAACATTTCAAATCATCACAGGCCTTCTTTATTTAAATCATCTCATAAGATAAATGGACTGATGGACCGACGGACGTACAGATGGACGGGGGCGCTAAAGTGATTTTGTCAAACTTCTACACAAACGTGTTTAACAAGTCTCCCTTATGATGCACACAAAGTTTGGTGCAGATTTATTGATGCAGATTTATTGGTGCAGATCGGATTGTGTATGTACAAACGGCGAGGCATCAGCTTTCGCCACTCTGCCACACCGACACCATCCCGCCACCAGTCCGTGTTGAGAGAAGCAAGCAGCGTGAGAAGTCTGCGTGTCCAAAGCTGTAGGCGGAGTTAGCTCAGATACACGTGCAATAAGAGACAAATTGGCAGCTTTGATTCAAAATGGCCGACTTCCTGTGGGGTTTGAACAATGACTCCAAGAGACTTTTTTGTAGATGTTTTTCTGAGACATTACACGTGTGTACCAAATTTCATGATTCCAGGTCCAAGCATGGCTTAGGGCTGATTTTCTAAATAATTGTAGGGGGTGCTYTGGAGGAATTAGACCRCTCCCCACAAAAATATTGGACTGCATTCCTGTAGTGTGGTGGATTAGGATCGACCACAGTGAATCTGATGCAGATTGGCTGAAATGTGCGGAATTTAGAGCTAAACGTATGTGAACGGCGTGCTGTCTTGACTTTGCCGCACCGCCATGACCACGCCTTTCACCAAAAAGTGTTTGTGATTGAAAGTAAGTGAGATCAACTTACTTTCTGTGTTCTGACTTGCTGATTAGTTCAAGAGGGTCAGAGATGGAGCTTTCAAAGCAAGAAAAAGGTCACTTTCCTGTTGTCAGAGGGCGGGGCTTTGATGATGTCATATTACCAGATGGTATGCTCAGGCATGCAACGTGGATGACCCATACCAAGTTTGGTGTATTTTAGCCTCTCTATGTGAAAGTTACAGCTTTCTGAAATTGTAACGGACAGACTGGCCGATGGAGAACGTTATTACAATAACTTAATTTAACACAGCTGTTTCCTGTATTTGTTTCTTATAGATGCTGTTAAGAAGATGTTCGTACAGCTGGCCCACAGTAGCTTCACTGGATTTCCTAACCTTTTCAAAGCAACCAAGGTAATGATTTAATTTTAGCTCTAATCGTAATTTCAATATTTGATGAAAACCTTTAAACTAAGATATTCTTCCTAGGCAATAATTGAAACCATAAAGCAGGAAAGGGAGACCTCTGCTGAGACCATGCTGAGAACTCAGTTCAAGATGGAGCTGCTGGTTTACTCGCAGGACAAGACCTACAGCAACAGTCTGACAGAGAGTAAAAAGAAGGACATGATGCATGAGGATGATGACGAAGAAGTTTTAAGCATACGTAACTTGTTCCACAAGGATAATCACAAAGCACTTGAGGAGCTGATGGTGCATCTGAAATCATATTATAAAGTAGGTTCGAAATAAGAGATTTCTAAGAGTTGTTTTCAATAACTGCACAGACCTGTCTGTCCACTTCTTCCTGCAGATTGCTGGCATGCGATTGGCCGACCAGATCCCCCTAGTGATTCGTTATGAGATGCTGCAGCAGTCAGCCATGCAGCTGCAGAGGGAGATGCTCCAGATGCTTCAGGACAAGGAGAACATGGAATTCCTGCTGAAGGAGGACTACAACATCTGCAGCAAGAGGGCTGCTTTGCAGAGCCGCCTCAAGCGCCTCCTGCAGGCCCGTGCATACTTAGTMGAGTTCTAAAAATTAGGGCATTTTATGAAGTGTAATTTGTTAAATTTTTGTTTTGTTAGGCAGATTGAGTTTAATTGTTGTTTTAAAACAACTCATTATTGGAAATGTTGTCCTGTTTGAATAAATTTACTGTCATCTATCTAGCAATCCATTTTTTTCACCCATGTTTCCTAGCTGAATCGTGGGAGCTGATGCCTTTCACAGGCAGTCAGTGTGCAGAAGTCGGGGTGCACCTTGGCAGGTTGTAAGTATCACAGGGCCACCTAGAGCCAACTATTAATGTTCTCATTCAAACCTAGGGAAAATTTAGAGTTCCCAGTTAACCTAACGTGCATGATTTGGTTTGTGAGAGGAAACAGGCCACAGACCTGTCATCAGAACTGAGCAGAGGTGTCAAAAATATTCACATTCATTACTTAAGTAGAAGTATCGATACT